TTTTTTTTTGGTCATTATGCATTTAACAAAGAATTTCACTGCTTCTTATAGCAGTTTGGTCTGGTTAAAGTGAGATTGTACAGCACTTGTCATGGTAACAGAAGCCAACAATCAAGGAAAACTCTTACTACCAACGTGCAACAGGTAAAAATCTGTTTCAACATTTCTGGTTTAAATTGCCTTAAAAACACTAAGAACAGTGATGTTTTCAGGTTTCCTTTGTGATAAGTAACTGCAACTGTGAGAGACTTTGCTTTCAGGGGAAAGCTACAGAACCCCACATTCCAGAATGGAGCCAGTGGCCACACCAGGTTCCAGAATGGTACCAATATGGAGATTCATTCCTTTTAATCAAGTTCAGAGTGCTCAGCAATCCAGACACTCAACCTGAATGACCAGCCAAGAATGAAGAAAGCTTGGATACTGCTCCAGCAGGCAGAAGACCTTGGCTTCATCCTTGTGGCATTGACTTTAGGTGCTTGCAGAATGCAGGAGTTGTGAGGTTAAGAAGGCTTCCATCTAGATTTCAACTAAAAATTAAGAATCAGTCATAAGATGACTAGCTCATCAAATGAGTCACCACAAATGTTGGCATCGAGATTGTGGCTGGAAGCACAGGGTGAAGACATGTGATCAGTGTTTCATGATGCCCTAGAGAATAAGTGGTAACTTGAGATTATGCCACATTTAATATCCCTGGTGCAGTAAGCACATAGAGGCATCAGGTGCCCAGGTGGCTGACCAGAGCATCTTAATCCATTCCTTTCCCAGAATGTCTTTATTCTTTCCATGTACCCTTACTGCATGACTCAATCCCCTATTGCATCATGATTAGCTAAATAGCTATGCAGTAATTGTGATCTGATCAGGTGATTGTAGTTTGACCCACATTGTCACTTTTCTGTATAAATCACCCATGTCAAAGAACCTTAGTGAAGTACTAAGGTCTCTCCTAGAAATTTAGGAGGTGTCATATTCCCATTATTTAAAATAAAACTCTCCTAACTTCCTGTCACTAGTGATTTCATTCCTTGATGATATAAGACCATGAACTCAGCACATTTGATGTAAGAAGTTATATTTTTCTATAACACTCTGACTCCTTTGGATTAATGTGCTTAAAAATCTTCCATTAGGTTGTTCTCTTTGGTCCACTTCTAGAGATCAATCCAATTTATCATATTTAAGATTTTTCCTTTAGCCTTGTCTCAGGAGAAGCAGTGTTTTAGTAACACTGTGTGTATCAGTATGCATTCCTATAAGAGTCTTTGTTATTTTCTTTGGCAGCCACTGGCATTTGTTCTCAAATGGAATGGTTTGGAAATGAATTCAGTCACCTTGCATTCATTCATTTCTTCATTGAAATATTGAATAATTTTACACATCAAAAGGTACCAACTATGCCCATAGAGAAGATTTGAAGAAGATAATGTCCTTCCAGAGACAGTCACGGGGATTTGAAATATGAATTTGGAATTTGAAATTTCTATACTTGGAAGTTGACCACCATGAGACATTTGTGGAATAGATGATGTGAAAGAGAGAAGACGCTATTGCCAGATTTACTCAGATTTAAAAATATGTTAAGATACAAAATTCATAAAAATGGACAATTTAAAATGAAAAATGTGTATCATTGAAAACAAAAACTGGCTAGTTTGTTTTGGATAAGAAGGCTCACAGAAGGCGAATGAGTCAGATCATAAAAACAATTTGCCAAAAGATAACCAGGTAGAAAAAAAGAATTTAGACTACAGTACCTTGATGAAAGGGACAGCCCAGTTGGCAAATTTTCAGAGAGGAATATTTTAGTCAGTGTGGATGACTGAGATTTTAATAAGAGCTGGAGGCTATGGAAAGAAGCCTAGGCAACAAATGTGATTATCAAAGGCTTTCTTCTCCTGGTTCTTTTGGCACCTGTAGGTTTTCCCAGATCAACTATGCTGTGCTTAAAATCATGCATCCAATTGGAATTTCAAAGTAAGTTTCTCTGCCTTATAGAAATAAGGCATTTAGATTTAGATAAAGTGACAAGTAGATAAGTAGATTTACATAACAAGGTGACTCAGAATCTTTTAGAGAAAATGAGTAATATTCACTGGTAGGAATTCATGGGCCTTATGTCAAAAGTTTTGATGCTGTTTTATAAGAAACAGTGATGTTTTTGAGTTCAATAGTTAAAGGTAGTGACCTTTTTATTCCTGATAGGAAATATCGGATTTAGATATACCTTACAGTTGTGTAGTAGCTCAGTCTTGTTATGATAAGGAGGCAGTTAGAGAAACCACAGGTAGAATTGGAGGAAAAATTATGCAAGCAGCCCTTCAGCTTAAAAATGAAATAACCCACCCAGGTTACAAACTCACTTAAGTAGCTAATCCAAGGATGGAGATACAAAAGTTAAGATGAGAACACAGAGATGAAGACTTTTCCCTTCAGGAAGAAAACTATTATACCAAATATGCTAAGTTAGACTTTAACATCCCTTCCTATACCTGGACTTGGAGAGATCAAGTTTGCTTAAAGTGTGTTTTCTTTTTGAAATCTTTTTAAATTCAGGTCCCTTTGGGTGCTCTGCTTATCCATATAAGCTTTAGGACTGGACAAAAACTTGGACTGGACTTCTTTTTCCTCTTGGTGGGTCTGAGTTTTTATACTATTTGTAATAAACACCGTCATACACTACTCCTTCTGTCTTGAATTTATTACTCAATTTCAGGTTATATCAAATCAATTATTTCAAGAACTGTGTCAGTTGAATTGGAGTGTGTGTGTGTGTGTGTGTGTGTGTGTGTGTTACACAAGGCTCAAAGTCAATGGTTCATTAAACTGCCTGAGCATAGACCCCTTGCAAAGTTTTAACACCTGATTTGCACAGAAATATCTAATTTCTCCCTTTCCTAACTTTATACAATATTATAATTTGCTATAGTTTAAATCTGGAAGACTCTCTAAAAATAGTGGCTACATTCATTTTAGAGAGACAGAAATTCATTTGAGAACATCTTTTTCTCTTCAATGTTACTTTTGTGATTCGCTTCCTAATATTTAGGAGCATTGTGAATTTCACTTCAGTAATGTTGCTTCCTATCTGAACACTGTCTATAAACTCTTTAATCATAGAGATTTCATGTTTTATGGTCACAGCCTGGAGAGGAAAACATAACACAACACAACACAGCACAATGCAACACAGAACATTTAAAAAAAAACAAGTTTTGAATTGCAGTGGAAATCTGTGGTTTTGAATGAGAACTTCTTGGAAATGTGAGTTGAGAGGCAGGTTAAATTTGACATGAGGTACAATTTTAAGAACCTGAAATTTTTTGTACCACAATTTTTACATAATAGAAAAGAAGATTGAACATTTTGCTAATCTTGTAATAATACCAGTGAACAAACTGTGGTCAAAAAATTCATGCATATGACTTAAGAAATAAATATTACTGTGAAAAAAAGAATTTTTATTATACATACATGTAGTATCTGGGTTACGGGGTGGTAAAAATGGGAAAGTAAATGGACAGTGTTTCTAATACTGATGAAAGTGATAGTCCTGAAATGACAGATGCTGAATGAAAAAAGGGACTTCTTGGGCTAAATCAGTTATTGAGTAATTGCCATATTTTCTAAAGGCATTAACAGATTATGAACTCGCTCCACCCTGTTTGATGATAATGCCTGTATCAAACCACTTGCCTGCTGCTCAGCAAGTGTTTCGTGTCAAGCATTAGTGATCCAATGGATACTAGGGCCCTATTGCTCAGGGCAAGCCTACCACATATGAAGTCATACACTTATCACAGTCTATCTATCTGCAAATTAAAGGCACTTGCTTCCCTTACCACAATCATATTATTTGTGAAAGAGTATCTGAAATAATTCAGTATATTATGTCTTATGAATATACTACTTTGATAGCTTTTGAAAGCCTGAAATTTTTTCAAAGCAGAAACAAGCTTTACAATAGTCAGGAGTGAAAAAATAACACCACAGCAAAGTACAAATAGAAGTGAAAAACACTCATGGAATGTTTAAAGTTCTAAAAGTGAAGAACTTCCTGCATCATCTTGTTGAACCTCTTCCAAGCAGTCATTGAATGATTAGAACTGAGAAAAGAGACATCCTGCTCTTGGCTTTTTTGAAGTAAATAGGACAAAGTGCTTAAGAAAAAAATGCAATAATTTTTCTTAGCTTTGGGAGTATATAGAAATCTACCACTGGGTTTATTTCCTTGACTCTTGTTTCTATAAAGGAAAACAAGCTAATGACTTGATGGTTTTAGCTTTTTTAAAAGACTCAAACTGCTGTGAAGGCACTTATATGCTTACTGATAAAGCTGGAAAGGCAAAAGAGAAGGCTTGATAATACCTGATTTCTAAATGAAGGAGGAGTGGAAGAATTGTGGAGTTATTTTTGTTCTGAAGGAAAAAAAATGAGCTGTTAAATAATTATCAGACACTAAA